GAGCAGCCTCTCCCTAAATCCGCCCCAATCAAGAAAATAAAAAAACGTTTCAGAAGGTCAGATGGATACTCACATCGCTTGATTCTCTTGCCTCAGCAGGCAGAATCCATTCAAACTCTCCAGCAAGAGCGTTAATTGACTCAAAACCAAAYTTCCTCGACAGCTGCTTCAGTAGGAACAACCTCGGTGTAGTGAGCACTGTTTTTACACACACTTTTTCCACCTCGACTATAAGTCTCTCGAGAGCTCGGTTGACATCGGGATGTGACCAATCCTGTTTACTTTCATTATCGACATTTCGACTTTGGTACATGAAATCTGCAGCTTTTGATAGMACAAAGCGAGTGTTGGCGATTCCTTCCAGCCACTTGATGTCAAGGRTTTCATCTTCTCGTGCTGCGTTGAGTAATACTGCAGCAGTTTTGAAATCGCCTTCTAAAAGACGCATTTTCTGGTCCAATGGAAGACCCGAGGCTCTTTTGATGAATTTGCTGTTGAGAGCRTCCTGTTATAAAAAGGTGGTGCAAGTAGCTGAGTATTTTTTTATTTATTTTTTTTTTACAGTCAAAATGGGTCAAGCCCGGGTTAACCCCCTAGGATCCATTAATGGCTTCATTTATTATTCATTACTTCATTATTATTCTTTCTACGAATACGAAGACTCAGAATTCAAAATAACAAGAATTTTAATACTCGAGTTCTGATTGGATTATTCCATATACGGAACACCATAATCCAATCAGAATTCGAGTTAAATATCCGGGTAAAATATTCCTCCACAGGCAAACCAACGTACCTCCATACACTGAATACACATAACAAAGACTTCAACTGAAGACGTTCCATCCCTTTCCACTACGTCTTGTGCTCTTTGTATGAACAAACCCATGTATTCCTTGACTTTCTGGTCACTGAAAAAAGTAGAGCCRTGATTAGATTCCGTCACTATTCCAGCAGATTGTATGGCAATAAACCTTTTAGCTTCGGCGTCCTTGGGCGTAATGTTTTCCCATTYTTGAGAATAAGATTCTTTGTTTCAGTTGTATCCATATTCATGTTCTTCTCTTGCGCAACGCAATGATATGCGCAATGATACTCTTGGGAATGACCCGTGATTTGAATTGGGAAAACATTACCTCAAGCTAAAAAGGTCTATAAGGCTTCGAACCATCATGTGAAGGCAGACAATACAGGAGACAGGAATCCGGTCTTATCTTATTAACATGAGRAAAAAAATCAGCTTTCAAATRGAAAAGGGRCTCAAYAGTCWCCTTCACAGTTCCCTGCGCCATCTTGAAAGGTAACCGTGCCTTTGCATCAAAGCGAGACGAACGGTRAGCTTGCAATGATAGAGACCTTTTTTTAACACCTTGAACAATTATTCAYATGTCTCTATCATTGCAATCTCACCGTTCGTCTCGCTTCGATGCAAAGGAACGCCTACCTTTCAAGATGGCGCAGGGAACTGTGAAGGGGTCTATTGTCGTGCCTGCTGTCATGGTTGCCATCACGTGATAGTTATGCAAAGCCTCTACAGGACACAGATCACTAAATAGGAGCAGAGCAGAGGGAGGCTTTGCATTAGAAATCAGAACGTCCTAAAACTCCGGAGAGCTGCCTAACCTCCTTTGAGAGCAGACATTTTTACCTGGACTTTAAAAGTTGTTGCAGTAAGAATGACCTGACAACAGGATTCACATCTATTCCTTGGTCAGGGAAGGGCGAGAATTGCTTGGTGYGGCGAGCCTTGTCCCCTGTGACGTAATCCATCAGTAAATTGTAAGCTTCCTCTTCCAAAGTCCCACACGGTGAATAACCAAAACAGAAAAGAGACACCACCTCCATGAAAAATGAGTTGCATTGATTCCTGAAGTTATGAACGTTGTTTAGAGCTTCCCTGGGAACAAAGAACACATTCGTTTTTGATGCTGAACAAGTCAGAAATACCCCTTTAAAATTCGTAATGACTAGCAGGACTGCGTTGGTGTGTTGAATGCAACAAGTGAATAAGAAGAAACTCAAACACTATGTAAAAAAAGTTTGTAATTGTACTGACATTTCGGACGCCTAGTCCTTCGTCGGATTCAAAGACGGAAATTTGAAATTAAACGAATTGACTGAGACACAAAATGAATATTCTCCACAAAATCGAGGCTAGCCCTGAATAGCTGGTCCCGGTTGTACGAAGGGTGGATAGCGCTATTCGACGGATAAATCTTATCCAGGGGATCAACTTATTAGAATGAAAAATATTATTCATCGTGGAGAAGTAGTAATAATAAATGATACTTATTCATTTGTCTCACGATTGAGGGTCATTTGTAGAGGACCGCTTATTAGAGATAAAGTTATTGTATATAAACAGCATCGACTTATCTACTGGATAAGGATTTATCTATCGGACATCACTATCCACCGACCCTTTGTACAACAGGGCTAAGAGTGCTACCTCATATGGTCAGATTCTGTTGGCGTGTAATCAACAGGGACTGGTTCTCTACACTTTGGACAAGTTGATTGTTCACTGAACCAGCGTGAAGAGCATTCTAAACAGCAACAATGTCCACAAGGAGTGACAGAAGGTTCCTTGACCCGATCCAAGCAGATGATGCAGGTCACTTTAGAGCTTAAACACAAATAGTAATGGAGTTGACTTGAGACATAATGAGAATAATGATGTATGGTGTGATCATGGGGTCAATCAAGGGGGCGTAGTGGTAGTACACTCTCCTCTCCCCTCCGGGGTATCTGGGTAAGTTCYTGGACTTGGCATCACATGTGAGTAGGGTTTGTTAGGTCTCACTTTCGATTGGAAGRTTTTTCTCCAGGTTCCCCGGTTTTCTTTCCTCCGCAAAACCCAACAAGCTAAATTCAAATTCGATCTGTGTGTTAGCCATGCCCTGACTTTGATCAGCCCAGAGGTCGTTTCAGGGTTCGATCTGTGAGTTAGGCGCCATGCTCTAACTTAGATCAACCCTAAGGTTGTTTCAGGGCGTGATCAAACATGAAGGTCAGTGAAGGTTTGAAGAATGATCAGTGTTAAATCTCATGACTGTTTTTTACCTCTTATTTCTTTTCCTGTGTTCTTGATTGCACTCCAATAAAAATGTTTCTAACCGGCGAATACACGCTGCTGTTAGAAAGTTAGTGCTATCATCAAGTATCTAGAGGTAAATGTACAATAACGTCACGCTAAGTGAGTCAGTTCAATGATATTTTTTGTTCTCTACACATACTCATGGCTTACCCTGGCACTAGGATTGYCCTAACTATATTATTTCCTATCTATTTACCCTGCTTGGCGAGTAGCCCTGGAACCTCCCTCCCCTTATTCCAAGAGACGCTAAAAAGAACTCGAATTGGTGAGATGAATGACTTTGACTTTGCTTACTAATGAGGCCTTACTGATCTCGTTTCCATTCAATTGTMSCYAGTCCCAACCGCTATACAACAAGGTCTATACAACAATACCTTCCAAAGCTTGAAAACATTCTCTACATCCTCGGCATTTGTTTGCTGAGACAAGTTGCACACTTGATCA